TTTGGTTGAATATTTGAATGGAAGCCTTTTTTCAATGAAAAAATTGAGATGGTGTTTTGTAATAAGCCTTTTCAAGAACAACTGGAACTACAGCGTAAAACTACACAAGACACTGTTAGGCTGCGTTTATACTTTGCGGCAGCGTAGCGCTTCCAGCGTTTCACTAGCGTTTCGCTAGCGTTTGCAGCGGCGGGGCTAGAGAGTATAGAAGAGTAGGAGAGTACAAAATACTCTCCTACTCTTCTATACTCTCTAGCCGCTGGCAAACGCTAGCGGGGCTAGAGAGTATAGAAGAGAAGGAGAGTACAAAATCCCCTACTCTCCCGTAGTCTCTACTCCCTGCCGCAACGCTGGGAGCGCCAGATCGATAGCTATGCATTCCCGTGCCCTCGCTACGCTAGCGTACGCTGGTGACGCTGGGAACGCTAGATCGATATATCCTTTCCCCGACACTGCCGCTGGCGTACGCTGGAAGCGCTACGCTACGCTGCCGCAAAGTATAAACGCAGCCTTATGTAACGAGAACACGAAATGATGCTAAGCTCGTCCCACAGCAGGAATTGAATTGAAAGACGGAAGATAGGTGGGGATATGAGATAGGGCCACGAGGCTTTATAAGTGAGTGGCACGATAACCTTCTAAGACGTGTAGGATGAAGAAGGCCTACTGGATAGAATTCGGGCCCCGTGAGAGCAGACTCTGCGTGGCCAGGGTACAACATCATGATGTGTGATATGGTAGTGTCCTTGCGACACCCTTTCTACAACACTTATCTACCACTTTCTTACAAGTTCGCACCAGTTTTTCGCCCAAAAATTTTTCATCGAGCGGGAGTGGGAGAATGAGGCCAGTGTGAGACGGGGAAAACCATGAAAAGTAAACTACCGGGAAGAATTTTTCGCGACGTGACAAATCAATTCAAAGGGAAATATGACCCCTCCCTAACTACAACGACAAGTACGACCCCTCCCCATCGGCCAAGTACGACTTCCCCTTGTGTATCATAAGACGATGATGTACCCCGTGCGTGGCGCTTTGGAAGGTTCACTCATAGCGCTCCATCAAGCTCATCAAGCTGCAACTTACCGAGCCTGGACGCCCATGTACCCGCCCGCCCAAAATGTCCGACTGATGAGTGCAATATGAAGCGAAGGTTTTTTTTTATCGGCGGTGGACCGTGTCTCATTTCCGGTGCCCTCATTCTTAGGTCCAACTGAAACTTTCGCATTTCTGTGAAGAATAATAATAATGCGAATACACTCCGGTTCGCTGCGGACGGTTGGGCGTGTCAGGCAGTATGAGTGTGTCACCCCGTCAAAGCCGTTCTCTGCCTTCTTGTTGAAGCGCGCATGCGACAAAACGAGTAATACGAACGATATGATACAGTCATATCATTTGCTCGCTTTAACAACTGGTGGAGAACGGGTTTGGCACCGCGCCAAACTCATCCCGCCTGACACGCCCAACCGTCCGCAGCGAACTACACTATACCTAGCGCAAATTTCTGATGCCGGGGTGTGCGTATTCGGGAACAGATTCACTGAATGGTTTTAAAGACTAGAAGGTCTCTCATGCGGGTCATCCATTTCCTTGAGGGAGGTCTTCTTTCTCAAACAATTCCAAAGTGTGAGAAACAAGGGCACAAAGAGCATATTTGGAATGTGGATATTGACAGATGATGAACTGCCCTGCCTAAATGGATTTCTTCTTAAAAATAACCGCACAGTTAGTATAAGGACGCGATGAGAATGTGTCAGCGACTGTAGGTGTAAAAAAGTAGTAAGCGTTAGGCAGCGTTCAGACTTCGCGACGGCAGCGCTTCGGTCGCGCGTTCGCATGCTTTCAACTGCATCGATCGCTTAGAGTCGCGTGACCGAAGCGCTGTCGTCGCGAAGTCTGAACGCTGCCTCATTAGACGTGTGCTCCAGCTGCATAGTCACGTAATACTGAGGACCTAAACCGGATAACACATTCTGTTGCTTGACTTTTACACACGCAATGTTAGCTGAGTTACGTCTTCGTTCTTCCGCCCCCCCCCCCCTCCTCGATATTTCTCATTTGTTTGATTTTCACTCACTTTTTCAATGAGATGTATCTCTGAGCGATTAAGTGTGTGCGACTACCGTTTTCGAATCTCTTTTTACTTTGGAAAGCAGCTAGAGCTCCCCCACCCCGCATTAATAGTGGATGGGATATTAGATGACTTCAACTGATAAAGTTTTAGCGAAAAAGTATTTTGAGTTGTAGTAGTCAAAAAGTGCTCTAGCTTCAGCACCAGCGTAACTGGGATGGCAAGCGGCGGTGCGTGGTTCTTGAGCATCGGTCTAGCAAATCCCGACCACAGCTAAAACAGCTCATGCAAAAGTATTCGCACAAGAGCAAACTAATTCAGCATGACAATGTTGCACGGAATGTCGACTATCTTCGAAATACTCTACCATGATGTCGCCTTCTGACGTCCTGAACTGCACCCAAGTCCCTTCCTTTTATATTGTTATATAAAGAGTCTTTGACGACATATTCCAGTTTCGAGGCCATCTTTCGAGGTAACGAGAGTGGTAGCGAAGCGCCCTACCGCGAAACTGCGGACCCCGCGGCTCTGCATGAACTGTATCACTCAGTGGTAGTCTCATGCCAGCACAACAAGTGCACATGGAGTAACCGCTTCGTTCCTTATTCAACAATGTTCGTGGACACGCGTTTTTATTTCTGCTGAGATTATGTCTCTTCTGTGGGATTATCCCTCACAGGCTCTGGTAGCCTACGTAGTAGACTGTTCATACTCTGTGTAAGCGTCGGCTGCGACTAGAACAGTGCCAGGGCACAGCATTCGATGGGGATTTTGGTCGAGCTTTTACGACCCCCCCCCTTTTTTCAGGGGCTGGTACGACCCCCCCCTCCAAAACGTCCGCAAAGCGAGAAAAATCAACTATAAAAATAAATTTTTCCCAGCCCAAATACGACCCCCCCCTTTTGGCGGCCAAATACGACCCCCCCCCCATAGGGAATCCCCATCGAACGCTGTGCCCTGACAGTGCAGATGTCTATCTAGCGAATGTCAGCGTATGCTAGCGACTAGGATATCGATCTAGCGCACGCTAGTGACCAGAGAAG